GAACCGCCCGGGGAACCGCCTGAACCAAATACCTGCGCTGCTAATGCTGCACATCACGCTTTACATAACATTCCTGAGGCACGCAGGAGGTCAGGAGCAGGCTGGAGGGTGGGGAGGGGACAGGCTGTGGGACACCCCAACCATTCCAGCAGCACTTATCCGTGACGCACAGCCGAGGGAGGCCGCAGGAGCTCGGCTCCACCTGGGCTGGCACTCGGCATTAACTTGTCTTGCTTTATAAACATGTTGCAATTGAACTGCGTAGAAAATGCTTGAAGAATTTTGGGGGGGAAGGTGCAAGGGCTGCATTTCCCTTTCCAGGTGGAAAAAGAACCTACAGATCACGACTTTCGCTTCATAAAACCTTATAAAAGAGCGGTAAAGGCCACTGGAATATTTTTGTTGTTTAAAATCAACAAGATGCACTGTGGACATCCCTGTGGTACATGGAGTAATCCTCTGTATTTTGATGGTGGTCAAGCAAAAAGATTAACCTTGTTGGCGGGGTGATGGCCTGGACCAGACATGCTCAGGCTGCAGGTTCACTTGGTCTCTCCACCCCATCCAAATCCTACTGCAACAAGTTAAATCCTCCCTTCTGCATCATTTCTCGTGCCAAATCCAGATCAGTCAGCAAGTACTGCGGGATACACCTCTCCTAAGGCACTCACAAACAAGGCGACAGCCAGTTTGGGATCTCAGAGGGAAGGCAAATGAGGTAACTTCCTAAACTTCATTGTAGATATACTCACAAAGACACCACACAGCTCAGGTACCTCCAGCAGCTCTGCTGTGGCCACAGACTCCCAAGGGAATGGCCAGGTGCTTTCCCAAGCCAGGGAAGGGTCTTGAGCAGGGACTGTTGGACAGCCCAGGAAGAAGGATAGATACTCAAAATGCAGCCAATCCTGTGCTCCTCTCCAGGCTGGTCCCAGCTGGGGAGCAGAACAGGATGGGGCATTTCAGGCTCCTCCCCAAACTGGTTCATGAACCTTCAAGGACATGGGACTAGAAAATCCTAATACCACCATATAAAGATATAAAAGTGCTGCAATCTGGAAGTAGAAGCATTGCCACCATCACTAGGTCTGAAAACCAGCCAGAGCCAGGCCCCTTGAGCTGGTGGCACAGGCTCTCCAGCCCTCCCTGCCTGACCCCAGAGCAAACCAGCCATGGGCTCAGTGCTCACACTGCCAGACCAAAGCACTACACTGGGCTCAATCTACATTTTCACAGTTGCACAGGGAAAAACACCAATAACCCCCCCCCCCCAAAAACCTCAAAAACCCAAACAATCTAACAGTTGCCTGAAAAACCAGTTATTAGACTGCTTGAAACGAGCTAAAATGAAATTCCCACAGATTTTATTGGCCTACTCACATATTGATTCTGGTGTGCTCGGTCTGCAGCACAGAAATTCACCTTGCTAGCAATCCCACCTGCGTGCTGGGCTACAAACACGCACTGGCAATGTCTAGGGCTGCTTCTTCTTGCTCCCTCTCCCTTGGCCTACAACTGCCAGTGCACATCAATAAAACAAGGCAGGAATTCCAGACAGTAGTTCCTTTGTTCCCTGCCACCACACAGAGAGATGGGAGAGCAGGGGGAGCTCACGCAGGGAAAGAAGGGTGTGACCCTCACCAGAGCTCCCATCTCCATCCTGGTGGTCAACCACCTGGCTGCACCTCTGAGGGCTTCTGGACCAGACTTCCAGGTAACCCTCAGGAGCCTGCCAGCCTTCCTGCTCCCAGGAATTCTCTCCTTGCACAGGATCCCCGTGGGACTGTAGCATGGGAAGGCACAGATGGGTCAAACACACCAAGATATTGTTGCTCTGGTTGGGATGGTTTCCTTTCCCTTCCCAAAGGCAGTTTAACTTGAGTGGCATAAACACTGTTGGTTGCACCCAAAGGCACAAACCACCCCCCTGTGCCAGAACACATCCCCAGTTCATCCAGCTGCATGAACTGGGACATGGATGGGTCACGCTCCGGGCAGGGTCTCCCCCGTTCCTGCCATTATTTGAAGATTCTGGATCCTCATCCCAAATTCTCTCAGGTTATAAATCCACACGATGCCTCGACACAAAACAACAACACAATAAATTATTTTTTTTTACCCACATAAAAAGAGAATAAAACAATTAAACCCCAGGCTCTGCTGTGTGCAAAGAGCTACTCCGGGGCTCCAAGAAAGCCCTTCCATCTCCCCGGCCGCCCAACACCCGCGTCCCTGTGATGCGGTGCCAGCAGCACGCTCTGTGCTTCATGGCTCACTTCACAAGGCATGAACCCAGCCCCCAGAAACTGCCAGCGTGTTCTCCCGAGCCCTGCAGATGTTTCAGCTCCAGTGGGCTTCCCAGGGAGCCCACCAGCATCCCTCCCTGCTCCCCTGCCTGCGTGGTAACGCACGGAGCGACGGCAGAGCGAGCGGAGCGGCCGGGAGACGACAGCTCTGCAGCTTCCACGGGGCTGTTTGGCTTTTTGCTTTATATTTAAAAAAATAAATTAACAAATAAAAATTCATGCTTGCAGCATAAACACGAGCTGGGCTGGTACTCCACTCCTCCCTCAGCGGGATGTGCTCATCCTTTGACTTCCAGCTCATCCAGTCCCTACCCGGACAGCAGCGCACCCACCCTCCCAACGACTCCAAACCCCGTCCCCACGCTGGGAAGGACAGCTGTGCTCTTCACGAAAGGACCTGCCCTTCCCAATTCATCCAGCAACCCACGGGAGGTGCAGGAGATGTGAAGTTCTTGGACAGCACAAGCAAAGCTCTGGAGAAGGTGCCCAGGAGCGAGTCTGAGCCTCAGACTGACCAGCACAGAGTGTTCTGGAGGGGCTGGAGCCTTGGAGCAGCCAAGCACAGCCCATGGCCCTGATGGAGCCATGGCACTGATCCTGGGAGCTGTCTGATGAGTCAAGAAGTCCCGTTGTTGGATTCACTACACAGCCTGTGAATTAGTCAATCCTCCTCTTTTGCCTGGGGAGGGGGGGCTGGCCCTCACCCAAATATTGTGTAAGCTGAAAAAGAGCTCCTTTAAAAAAAAAATAAATAAACACAACACCCAAACCAGATAAAATGTAGAAACACTATTCTGGAGGAACAGGGGAAAGCTGAAGCCATAACAGCAAACGATTACTTGCTGTTCTCCCATCCCCTTCCTCCGAGAGCCTTAAAAAGGCTTCGCACCATCCGGCTCCGGCCCTGCTCACGTTACACTGGGATCAACCAAAGCGGAGCCTGGTGCTCGTGTCCTGCCCAAGGTCACGGTGACAGCCAGCTGCCAAGGAGCCCAGCACTTCCCAGAGCTCTGCCCCAGCCTCCAACACCAGCATTCCCTGGCAAGACCTGCCCAGTGGAGAGAACGCAGGACTCGGGAGCGATGGAACCGTGGGGCTGGTTTGTACGAGGTTCATTTCCATGGACACCACGCAGAAAGCCAAGGCAACCTTCCCAACTTCCACTTTTTTCCAAGCCTTGTCTCCCTCCCTCCTTTTCTTCCCCCCCAGTTCTTAAAATCCAATTATAGCACGACTCTCTCAGCAGGGGTCAGTGTGGAATAAGAATCGCCCGAGTTAATGGACATGAGACCAAGAAAGATTAATGCCTAAATGGTTTCAAAAGTTGTATGATGCCGATTTCATTAACATTTTAATTGTAATGTATCTTTTTAATCTTCTTTCACACTAATGGTTTTATATGCTTCAAAAAATAAAAAAAACTGCTGACAACAAAAATATCAACATACCAAAATTAACAGACGGAACTGAGTGCTGTAATGGGAACTGAATGCAATGCAGAAAACCATGTTAACGATGCATTAAGAGTAGAAACCGTGCTCAGACAAGAGTCAAAAATTCAGTGCTACACTTGCATGCCCTGTTTTCATCTTCCCCAGGTGTTCAGCACGACCCCAGGTGTCTCTCAGCAGCGCTGTGCTGAAGCAACAACCCCAGCAGCATTACCCAATGCTTACATTTGTCCCCAAAAAAAGGGTGCTCTAAACCTGGAAATTGATCTAATTTAACCAGGATGATATAGAGAGGCAGCAGATTCGGAGGAGGTGGCTTGCTGCTGTCCATCACCCCTTCACTGAACAGCATCACCAGGGGCTCAGGTGGCACCACAGCAGAATCCACGGACAGGAGAGATGCTGCTGCAACCGCCGTGCAAAATTTTATTTTACTTAATTAGAAGACAATTAAACCTAAGCAATAATGTTTCATTAAGCATGGGCATGTATTGATGGTGTTAGCACGGATAAACGGGGGGAGGCACAGAAGGAGAAGATAATTGTGGAGCAGACAAATGAAGTTTCTGACAAGTTTTGCTCGTAGAAAGGAGGGAGCGATGTAGCTGCCGGCACCTGCCCGTGGGGCTGGGCTGCAGCCCCAGGGATGATCCAAAAACCACAGTGTTTCCTTTCACAGCCCATCAGGATTTGTTAGAAGGGACAAGATGCAGTCAGAGGGATGCAGACCCTCCATATGACCATTAGCAAATCATCATCAGCTTCACATTTGCAATGAGAATGGGATTCCAACCACAACACAACAACCAAAGCCTACTCAGATTTAGTCCTTCAGGGTTGCTACAGCTGGTGCAGTGCACAGGGAGGCTTCCAGTGAAGGGGCTTCTACAGAGAGGGGTTACTCCTGTTTGTGGGAATTTCATTCCCACAGGATCTCAGCCACGAGCTTCGCACCCAAGAGGAGCACCTCTCCCAGGAGGGATCCACGGTCCTCCAAGACCATCCTATTCCAGCCAGGCACATCCTATTCCACTGCAAGTCTCCCACCAGTGCTAGCCAGGCCTCTTCCCTTGGAAATCAAGTCATTTTAACCACCTTCAAGTGTATAAATCCTCGCTCCCCATCTCTTTTGGGCACTGTCTTGTGCATGGCACACCTTGAACCACCAACCCTTTATTCACACACCTGCATGTCACACCTTGGTGTGACATGCCACCAGGGCTCTGAGTACCAAAACATTATCACTCCTCTGCCATGTCACCACAAAACAGCATCTCCCAGAACATCCCTGCAGGGAACGATGCTCCCTCCAAACCCCATCCCCGTTTTCCTAATGCTTCGTGTAATCGTAAATGTTTGTCCTATGACAGGGAGAACTGGCATGTAAAACATGTCCCCCCACACACAAAATATATATATATATATATATCCAAGGCTGCCATATGCTTCCCCAGTGGATACCACGACAGGAACGGGCGTGTGGAGCGGAGCCAGTGCTGGCACCGGAACACAGGGCCCATCACAGCTCTGCCACCCGAGGAAGCTCAACCTCCATCCCGCTTCACTTGCCATTCCCTGCACAGGGCTCTTCCCTGTGCTGCTGAAACTCATCTCCCCCTTCCCCACAGATGACAAACATCTGGCTCCTCTCCCCCTCAAATCGATACACCCAGAAGAGCCCCCGACCGCTGCGCAGAAAAGCAGGAATTTTCCCCTCTGCCGTTTTAACAAATGATTAATAGATCCTGATATTGGCTTTATGGCCGCGGGGATGACACCGGGAGGTGAAGTATTTAATCTCATCCCAGTGACTATATATGGTCACTCTGATGGAGTCACCTCCCTCCCCTCACGCTCTGCTGCCCTTCGCTCCTGGCACCGGGCTCTGCAGCAAAACTGGCAGGGCTCGGGCACGGCGCCGGCGCGCCAGAAGTCAGCAGACTCCCCACGTTCCTGTGCTCTCTTCTCCCCCTTTCCCAATTTTTTTTCCGGCTTCTAAAAATCTTAAACCGGGAGGAAGACCACAAAGAACGCACGAATGCTCAGCAAAAAAAAAACCCCAAAGCCTAAAATATTTTATGAGTGTTTTAGAGAGGATTGTTGCACGGGGCGGGGGGAAAAAAAACCCAAACCTGTCAAGTTACTTATGCTTAAATGTATAGTTCATAATCACTCAGAAGTTGAGTTTTTTTTAAAAAATAAAATCAATCTTCTGGTGGAAAGTGTATCAATTTGTTCAGCCCACACAGACTGGTTTGTTAGGGGAGGGTGGTTTGTGGCTGCTGAAGCGGGAGCAGCGAGTCCTGCCCCCCCCTTCCTTTCCTCCCCCCAATCCACCCACCTAGGGGAAAAAAAAATGCACTGAACTATTTGTCTTCATAGGAAATCTAACACACAAAAATGTACTCAACACGCAAAATTCTTTTCAAAGTCCGACGTGAGGACCTCGGCAAAGCCTGGGGCCAAACTGCGCCCGCGGCCCCGGGAACGCACACAGCACAAAACCTGGGCCAAGGGCTGCTTATCTTCATTTTATCCCGTTGAGCCCTGAGCTTTTGAGGGGGTCTCTGTCACCACAACAAAGATTTGCTCCCCACACCACTGTCCCGACACCTCGTGCTGCCGACATCAGCATCCCCCTCAGCCCGGCCGGGGCGATCTCCGCCAGAACCTGGCGATGAGGAGGAGTCGGGAACCTTCACCAGGCTGAGCCCCCCCCCAAGCAGGGAAAAGGAGGAAGCAGCTCCACACTCTCCTTCCATCGTCTACATGGCAGGCTCTGTCCCAGCAGTCCGATTTTTATTACCTCCGTCCCCATTTAGGAGCAACCACATGACAAACCCGAGCGCAGTCCCGCCCGGGGAGCTCGCCTGGGATTGCCTCTCCCTCCCTGGGATCACAGCATTTTAGCAAGTTTTCCCTTAGCAGCAGAATTTGCGGGTACAAAGAATGCAAGATTTAATTTTTCTTTTTTTTCTTTTTTTTTTTTTTTCATTTAAATTCCTTTCCTGCCTCCAAACATTCACTTAAAAAAAAGTTGGACTCAAAAAAAAAAAAAAAAAAAAAAAAAAAAAAAAAAAAAAAAAAAAAAAAAAGGAAAAAAAAAAACCCCAACAAAAAATAAACCGCTAATGAATCACAGTTCCTAGCAAATGAGCAATTGCAGTTGACACAATGAATTATGCCTGAAGCAAGCTGGGAAACATATTTTGCAAATGATCTCATCCACAGGCAAACCTGGCATGACACTTGATTTGCTAAAAAAGACACAAAGCCTGTCAAAATTCCTGTCACTTCACAAATAAAGTCAGGTAGAGAAAACCAACAGCCTCACCCTCTTTTAAGCACGCTTCACCTATTTCTCAATTGCTTTACAGGCTGGATTTAATAATTAAAAAAAAAAAAAAAGAACAAAACCACACCACCCTCCTGTAGGTGTGCCCATCCCAGTGGGTGCTGAGGGCTATTGGATCCGCTGCCACTTCCCTGGATGAGGAATAAATGGGCTGGGAAGCTGCTCTTTGGATGCCAAGCACAGGCTCAGCTCGATTTGAAGCCTAATTGCAGCAAGATCTGATGCTCGCTCTGGCCATTAGGTATGGCAGGGAACTCACAATTCCCTTTAATTTCCTCCAGCTGAATGCCTGGGTTTTATTTCTTACGCTGCATTCAAGTAAACTCAAAGAAAGGTAGGAAAAGGAGGAGGGGGAAAAGTCATTAAGGCGCAGCCCCCCTTGCTCCTCAGCATCCCTGGAGCTCTCTGGGAGCGGTGCCCTTCGGCCCAGCACATCCCACCCTATTTCCCCACCTGAAAAGCTGCTGGCTCAGAAAACCTGGAAAAATTCAAACCCATGGCTGAACCCTCCCTTCTAACCCCATTTTGTCAGGCTTGAGTATTTTTAAACACAGAGCAAAGCAGGAGCCGAGTCCCAGCACCCTTTTTCACAGGTTGTTCCGTGCTGCTTGTCCCCAATCCATGTCACCCCAGTGCCAGGCTCAGTCCTGGTGTGTCACCAGAGCCAGCACATCCCTGCCGAGCCTGGCACGAGCCCTCCAAAGGGCCTGGCAGGGCCAAGGGCCTTTAGAACAAGACAGTCTGAAATAAATATTTCCATTCCAAGGTGAGCTGGTTTGTGTTCCCTGGCTGGGAAAGCACAGGCCAGTCTGGAGGTTTCTCCCAAGCCAACCCAGAGCTCACTGGGTAGATCAGGCTCTGGCAGGAGGTTTCTTGGCTCTTCTTCCCCGAGCACCTCGTCACCCCAGCTGGGATTTGAGCCAAAGCCCAGGCCAGAAGGGACTCACCTGGATGCTCCAGGTAGGATCAAGTTCAAGGAGAGGGGATTTTTCTTCCCTGGACTTACCAGCAGGGAGGATGCTCCGTGTCCCCTGGACCTGTCACTGGTACCTGCTGAGAGGAAGCAAAATCCACCCTCCAGCCCCAAATCCCAGCAGACTCCCTCAGGAAAGCACAGAGTCACGGCTGGGGAGAGGAAAAGGCTTTTATGTTGCCAGAGGGCTCCAAAAATATCACTTCCAAAGTGATCCAGCATCAACGCATGTACCTTAGCTAATGGCATCCATCTGCTAGAACAAAGGGGGCTCTGGGGGAAAGTTTGGGGAGCCCTGAACAACAATTTGGGGAATTCTGCACAGCCACAGCCCAGCCAACACAGAAGGGGTCCCAGTGGGACCCCTCCAATGCTGCAGAGACCCCCTTGCTCCTGCCTTGACACTTGGATTTACCCCCCTCTCTATATTTCCAGCTGCCTTGGGAGGGTTTTTTGACAAATTTTAAGTTCCAGAAATCCATCCTCACCCTCCAGTGTCCCAATGAGCCAGCTTTTCCCCCCATGAAGCCTTAATTAAAAGGCCTCTGCAGGAGGAAAAAACCCAAAACACTGCAGTTACAGTCACAGAAGCACATTTATTCTCTGGAGGAGAGGAAGAACCCTAATTATTTTATATTTGCCGCTTACTTCAAATCCAGCTACTATCACCTCCATTATCCACACCTTGGGGTCACAGACTTATTATCCTCAGCAATTCAGCTCCTAAGGAACAGCTCAGCTTTATTCTTTTTTTGGTGAAAAACTTATATAATTTCAGAGCAGGCTGTGAATCAGGCAGGAAATTTGGGCTTAGCCGTGCCGGGAGGCTGCAGTTTGGAGCAGGACCGGGTCTCCCGGGGACCCCACTGCCAGAGTCCCCCCCCAGCTCTCCCCGTGGAGAAGCAGCAATTTTCCCGGTTTGTTTACCGATTTCCAGCTTCTCCTGCTGTTTAATATTTCAGCTGGAGAAGGTGAGCCGGCACGCCAGCCCCTCAATTACCCAGGGCGAGAGGCAAACACTTGGCAGGCACAGAGCACATCAAGCTGCCCGCAACCTCGCAAATGCCTCCGGAAAGGAGGGGGCGGGGGGAGAGGAGGGAGGGGGGGGGGAAAGAAAAGAGAATATTCAAATTAATGACCCGGCGGGTAATGGAGACTTGGCTGGAAGTGATCCTGCACTTTGCCATCGCTCGGGCCGGCGGGAGCAGCACGCGATGTACCGCTGGCGTTTGGGTTTTCCTACGGCAGGGAAGATGTTTGCAGAAGTCCTTGAGCGCCGTAACTACAGCAGCTGCAGTGGGCAGGGGAGCGCCGGCGCTCCCCAAATCCAAACCCAGCTCTTAGCCCAGTTTTTTCCACCACGAAGCTCGCGAAGCCCCCTCGGGGCAGAGGGGTCCCCGCGCTGGGATGGGGGGCACAGTCCATGGCGAGACCCCCATCAGCCCCCTCCAGGAGGGCACCCACCCCCACCCCCCAGGACTCGGGGGTCCTCCCCCAAACCCCAATTCCAGCGTTCCGCCGCCTTTTCCTTATTAAAATCCCCCCTTTCTCAACGCTTTCCTCCCCAGCGGGAGCAAAAGTCCGCATTTATCCCCGATCCCGACCTTCAGCCCCGCAGCCTCTCCGAAGGGGGAAAGGGGCTGGTGTCCCCCCAATTCCCACCTTGCTGCAGGACCGGCAGGAACTCCGCGACACCCCCCAAAACCCCTCTCGGCACGCCGGGGGTGGTGGGGGTGGGGGGGTGTCACCCCTTCCCCTCCCGAGCCCCGCACCCCCCGCACCCCGCGGTGTGACCGAGCCCCGCGGGGACCCCCGGAGGATGCGGGCGGAGGGCGCGATGTGCGTGTGGTTCCCCCCCCCCCCCCCCCTCCAGCTCCAATCCACCCCCCTACCAATCCCCCCCAGCGCGGAGCGGGCGCCGCGGCGGCCCCGGGGGGCTCGCTGCGGGTGCGGGGTGCGGGGGTGCCCGGCCGGGGGTGTCTCCCCCCGAGCGCGGGGTCCCGGCGCAGCGCTCACCTGCGGGGCGCCGGCCCCCGAGGCTGCCCTGGGCCTGGCGCGGCGGGGCCGGGCGGCGGCAGGAAGTGATTCCAGCCGCTCCTCACATGGACTTTCCCTGACCTCGCCCAGCAGCGCCGGCAGCCGCCGCACAGACCGGCCCGCCGGGACCGGCACCGGCAGCGGCTCCGCGCCAGGGCCGCCCGGGGGCGGGCGGGGGACGGGACGGGGCGGAGGGGGCGGCACCGGCCCCTCCGGGGGCACCGGCGGGAGGAGCCGCGGGGGGCGGGACCCCCGAACCTCCCCCCCCCCCACCCCGGGGCCCCGCTCACCCCCACCCGGAGCCGCGGGAGGGGCGGGCACGGCCCGGGAACGGGGCGGGAACGGCGGGAGCCGGGATCGTTCCCTCGGGTTTTCGTTTATTCTGCTCATTGTATTCTACTTTATTTTACTTTATTTTATTTTATTTTTTTAGAATAGATTTTATTTATTGTTTCTTTTATTTTATTTATTTTCATTTATTTTCATTTAATTTAATTTCTTTATTATTTATTTTATTTATTTTTATTTATTTTTATTTATTTTCAGGTAATTTAATTTCATTTATATTTATTTTATTTTATTTATTTGTTTTTATTAATTTATTTTTATTTATTTTTATTGATCTTATTATTTTTATTTTATATTTTATTTCTTTTATGTCTTTATTTTATTCTATTTTATTCTATTTTATTCTATTTTTATTTTTACATATTTTATTTCACTTATTTTTATTTTATTTTACTTTATTATTTTATTTTATCGTTGCTTTGTATTTTACTTCATTTTATTCTTTCATATTTTATTTTCTTTTTTCTTTCTTTTTTTCTTTTTTTTTATTTTTCATTCCATTTTACCATTTCCCTTTTATATCTTGTTTACTTTATAATGCATTTTTCCTTTATTTTTCCCCTTCATTTCATGTCTTTTCACTTCATTTTATATATTTTCACTTAATTTTGTATTTTGTCATTTAATCTTATTCCTTTTGTTTTTATTTACCCTTATTCCTTTATTTTATCACTTTATTCATCATATTTTTTTTTCTTTGATTTTTATCAGTCTTGGTGCATTTGCTGAACTTTGCACCGTGTGCATCCCCCAGTCCCACCAGCTGGGATTCTGCATCCCGAGGGAGCACTCCCACCTCCCCAACCTTCCTCCATCCCCACCGCTCAAGGGCTGCCATCCCTGGGAAAACCCACTGGAGTTTTGATCTCTGGTGGTCTCACAGCCCAGATTTTATGTCACAGGGAGTCACCCCTGGCAAACTGGGACCTGTGGACCCCCAGCTCCCGATATCCCGGGCTGCTCCCTCTTCCCACACCCTTCTCCCACTGAAAAAGCCTTTTAAAGCATCGCAGACAAAAAGCAGAGTTCTCTGAGGTGGGACTGCTCCAGCCTTGCGGGCACATTTCCATTCCAGATCTCGTCCTCTGGCCTAAAAAAAACAAAAAATCATTTTGCTTTGGTGCTCCTCTAAGCCCAAAAATATGAAAATCTGCACATTTGCATGATGAAAGTGCTGGCCCAACCCTGCTAAACGAGGGAGTAACAAACCCCCCCCCCCCCCGTTTGCTCTTTGCATGCGAGATCGTGGCAGAACTTCTTGGAATCTGGAAGTTTCTTTCCTCTCACTCTCCCGAACGTTTATCATTTCGAGGCTGCCTTAAAATCTGCAGTGAAATATCCCCATATTTTAAAAATCAACATTGGATGCCTAGAACTGCTCAAGGCTGAGGAATTTCATTAGCACTTGACACTTTAAAAAACAGTGTCAGGTCAGGACAAACACATTTTCTTTTCTGCTGAAGATAAAATCAGGGTGGTATTTTTTATTTATTTTTTTTTTAAGTGATGATGCATGAGAAACATGTCCCAAAACTGCATTCTGAGACAGAGCAGTTGTATTCCCTTCAAATGTGACGTTCCCAGCTCCCCTCCTGTGGTTTTCACTGAAGCATCTCAACATCAGTTCGTTGGGAACTGTAGTAATAGGAAAAGGGGGGATGGATTTAAGCTGAAAGAGGGTAGATTTAGATCAGGTATTGGGAAAAATTTCTTCCCTGGGAGCGTGGTGAGACCCTGGCACAGGTTGCCCAGGGAAGCTGTGGCTGCCCCATCCTTGGAAGTGTCCAATGCCAGGTTGGATGGGACTTGGAGCACCCTGGGCTAGTGGGAGGTGTCCCTGCAGTGATAGAGGGGTTAGAACAAGATGATCTGTAAGAGCTGCTCCTTGGGGCAGAGATCCCTGTGGGATGACCAGCACCATCCCCTTGTCCCTCCTTGAGCACCACAGCCCACCCCAGGTCATCTCTGATGTGGGGACACCACTCAGGTCATTTGTGTCGCCCCAAGATGCTTCACTGACCAGCTCAGCTGAGAGAGGTGGGTTTTGGAATCCCCCAGCACCTCTCCAAGGATCCCAGGAAAATCCAACCACATCCACGGGGAGCTGCACGGAAAACTCCTGTTCTCCGGTGCTCAAAGAGGAGAGAAAAGCCGAGCTTTGTGACTTGCCCGGGGCCTCCCCAGCTCAGAGAGAGCAGAGAGCCTGTTAATGCTCCAGCCCGGGGAGCATCTTCCCTCCCTTCAGCCATGGACATTTTAAAAACGCTCTGTGATGGAGAAAGAAACATTTCTTAAGTACCATTTGATGTCTCAGAATGGCTCCGGGGCGAGAGAAAACATGTTTATTTACTACTATGCTGATTTTAATGCGAGAGATTGGTTCAGTGACTAGAGGAAACAAAACAGGCAACATTTTCCATAATGTCTGCAAAGTGTTCTTGGGCTGCGGAAATATTTTCTTTCTTTCTCTCTCTCTTCTCTGCATTTTTTTTTTTTTTTTTCAATCTAGCATTTCAAATTGAAGAATGGCTTGAGGGCTGAAGAAATCACTTGATAAAATACCCAACATTTACATTCTTGTGGGAGGAAAGCTAACTTTTTTTTTTTATTTATTTATTTTATTTTATTTTTTTTTCCCATCTGAGCAGTGGTTTAGTGAAGCAGAAGAAACAATCCTGCAGCATCCCACGTCCCTTTAACCCTTCCTGGCTGCAGCTCTTCAGCTAAACTTTTAACTCTTCACTGCAAAGCTTTAGAGATTTTGTTCCTTCTCCAAATTCTGGGCTCTGAGGACACTGAAGGTGGTTTTAATACACTTTGTACCTCGCTTTCCAGGTGCATTCCTGGATGCCTGTGCCTGGCTGATTTATTTTGTACAGGGATGTGACTTTCCAGCAAACCTGGTAATGAAAAAAAGACCTTCAAGGTGTTTCCAACTTTCCTGCCATCAGAGATGCTGCCGTGGGGATGCCCATGGACACGGCTCAGGAGTGGCATGAGCTGGTCCCCAGCACTTTGCTGTGGTGGGAACCACCCTGGACACCCATCAGGGCAGCTCCAGGTGGAAGAGGACTCTGGAAGACGTGCAAAAACCGAGGAGGAGTCTGCTGAGAGACTCGTTTTCCTGCAGCAAGGACTCTGCAAGCAGATCAATGCTCCTATTAGGAGGAATTTTCGTAGTTTGCTGTGTTTGGTCTCCCCAGCCCAACACACGTGACCAATATTTGTGCTGCAAGGCCATCTGGTAGGTAGAGAAAATCACCTGCTCTCAGAGCCCTTCCCTTTGATGGCTCATTTAGCCACCACTTGAGCACAATTGGTGTTCAGGGAGGGAGGAGAGGACAGGCAGCCCCATTACAGCTGAATAAAGTTCATGGGGATTAACATAATTTATGAATAGCAGCAAATAACAAAACAAAATGTATCAGAACCCCTTGTTTAAGTGCTTTATTTATTTGTTCCAGGGAGATTTTCCTTTTCCCCTCAGTCAGCAGAGTAGGGCTGAGTGCTGTGGGAGGATATGCAGGGTCTGGTCACAAGGGGCAGTGACTATTTGGGTCCACACCTCTCAACCCGGGTCTGGAGGGAGGTGTAACACCTGCCTTTCCCTCTGGGAAATGGAGATAAAGAGGTTTGATGACAACCTGTGGCCGTCCCAGGGCTTCATCTGCTCCTCCTCTGCTCCTCGCCCGTGTCGTGGTGTCTTCCTTCCACTTCCCACTCCAGGATTACACTCTGCTCCCACCAGGGAGCCTCCCTGGCGTGTATTTCACTGGGAAAGCCTTAACCCTGCTGCAGTAAATCTCTCCTGGGTCACGGGGTGGGTCTCATTCCAGCCCAGCAATGTTTTCAGGTCAGCCCCCACAGCTCCCCAGGGAGGTCCGGGGCTCAGAACTGGCACTTTGATGGGTCTGAGCTGCCTGAGCCCAGCCATGACCCTGGGATGTCACTGCCATCCAGCCCTCTGGTAACATCAGGGATGATGAGGGGAGTATCCAGTGCAGCCTCTGGGACCCACCACGCAGGAGGAGGGATGGGACAAAACACATTTTGGGACAAGGCCTTGAAATCTTCGCTCAGCCAAAGCTGCAGGAGCCAGGGAGATGATTTCCTATCTGAGAAAGCCTTTTGTTTGTTGTCTTTGGTGGCTGTTCAGCTCAGTCAATTTTTCCCCTCCTCTCCAGCTTTGACCAGGGTCTGATGGCTCCAGTTATCCCAACCCTCTGCTCTGGCTCCCGTGATGTCAGCCAGGAAAAGGGAAGCACAGGCTCTGCCACCTCACTGCTCTGGGCAGGGCTTTCCCACCTCAGCATCCCTAAGAACATGATGAAGTCACTCATGGGATAAAACACTGCTCAGAGGGAGCCCAGGGGATGGATTCGGATGTTCATGGAATCACAGAATGGTTTGGGTTGGAAGGGACCTTACAGAGCATCTTGCTGTACTCTCTGTCATGAGCAGGACACTTTCCACTGTCCCAGATTGTTCCAAGCCCCATCCAACCTGGCCTGGAACACTTCCAGGGATGGGGAGGAGTCGGAGTTGTCATTTTTTATAAATGAGGTTCATAAAGTTCTGAGTTCTTTCCATGAAGCACCTACACAAGGCTCAAGCATCGCCCCGAGCCACGCAGCTGATTCGATGCAGATGTCAATTATTTTGACTCCAACCAGGCTTTTATTTGATTTGCATCAAAATGATTGGGAATAAGTTAAAACAAACAGAAATGAGGGTGTCTCCAAGGCGGCCTCGTGGTCCCGACTAAACTGGCACAAGGCTGTGTGTAAAAAGGCTTTGCTTGTTAGTAAATAGAGAAATCCTTCAGATCCTGCTGGGAGAATTGCTCCAGAAGCTCAAGGCACTGCTTGTTTCCAGCTGGCTCCCACGAGGTGAGAGTGGGACAACAACAAAAATCATGGATTGCTGGCCTGTTTTAGCGATAATTTATTATATAATGGTGTGGTGGCTGTGCAGGAGGGAGCAGAGAAGCCCCAGCCCTGGGAGGCATTTTCTGGCCGTGTTAATTCACGGCAGGTACTCACAGCCCTGGCTCGGCTGAGGCTGCCAGGCTGGGATGCTGGGAGGCTCCTGACCTCCCTGGACACAAGACTGCAGGCTGTTTTCCCAGGAGCAGAATTAAAATGAATTTCCATTAAAAAAAAAATCTGCTTTCATCTTAAAGACTCGACACGCTGGTGGATAGAACCTCGTCTGGTAAATGATCTTGATGTTTAATTGCCTCTAACGCTCGGAAATGGCGATTAACTGGAGCTGGGGCAATTCACAGGACATCACAGGCCTCCCCCTGCCTGCCTGCTGTCTCTCTGAGCTCTCACCAAACTCCCTGCAGACTCTCTCAGGCCTCTCACACAGTGTGGCTCATCTCTTTGATACAACCATCCCTTTTCCCAAGTCTTTCCTGGCTAATAATTTGCACTGATTTAAAGTTGACAGCTCAGTTGACCGCGGAGCAAAGAAACGCTGCTCATGCTCTCCCCGCAGTTCCTCTCACATCCCTCCCCACCTGGGGATGTAGGTGCACAGAAACACAAGCAAGAAGCCTTAAATCAAGCAGCTCAGGTCAGCCTTGGAGGGCGGATAAGTCTGGTCAGGTGGAAAGGGGAGGGGGTGGCTGCGTGGCTGCTCTGCAGGAGACGATGACGCCCTCGAAGAGAGCGTGAAAACTGCCTGAGACAGAGGCAGGCATTGAATTTCTCCAAGCTAAGCAATGTAAATGAGACTGGCATAATCGGCCTGTGTTTCCCCTTCCTTTCTGTAGGGGAATATTTTGGGTTGAAGTGTCTGTGATGTGACTGATGCAGCAAGTCAGCGCTGTCAGAGCCGTGATTCACGAGTCGGTGCTGCAGTGCTGGAGGTGGGAGCGGGTAACCTTGGCTGCTGCTCCTCCTCCTCCTCCTCCACCAGGATCCCCTGTCACCGGCAGGGGCTGCTGGGAAGGGGCTCTTTCACCACTGGAGATGGGCTGGTACCGGCACTGAGGGTTTTCCCTGCTGGTGGTGGCACCTGCACAGTTAAACCAGCAGACCTGGGCTCCTGTCTCGGTCAGTCAGGATGGGCCAGGCAGGGGATGGAGCTTCCCACAGCTCTGGGCTCGGCCCAGATGGCTCCTGAAATATTGCTGCTGGACATGGGATAGTCTGGATTTTCGTTGTAGGGGGTTGAGTGACTCTTGCTGCTGAAGTGAAGCCAAAACTCTTAATATTTCCCACACAACCAGAGTGTGATCTTATCACGGGATGGAGCCCGGGCATTGGCACAGGTCCTGTGCTATTGTTGGGAAAGTCTTGATTTGAGGAAATTTAGGTTAATAATGATCCCTCCTGAAGCCAATTGTTACTCTTTATTCTGAATTTGCCCTGGTAGCTGCACCTTTGGACCAGAGAGGACAAGCCAAGAAAAGCCATCACTCAGGAGAACACTCCAAGTGAGGGGAAACAGCTTCACCAGCCAAAGATCTATTGGAAAGAAGACTTCAAGCAATTAATTTTCCAGGTTTCCCACAAGTGTTTTGAGAGCTTTTGTTTCCCTTTGTTATAAGACAAATCCCTAATCCACTCCTCATTCTGATCCATGGCAGTGACGCGACGTCCCCCCGGCTCCCAATCCCATCCATCCCCCGGGGATGTCTCACACCTGCTCCAAGGTGCTCCCACTCCTGCCCAGCCTGGGCTGGGCTCCCAGAGCCAGGCAGGAGGAGGAACTGGAGCACCGGTGAATGCACACAAAAGCCTGGGAAAAAAAACCTGCTGTGATTTACCCCCACGGAGTTCAATAAACATTAGATCTGATGGCATTCATCGTTTTTTCATAGCAAGCTCGATTACTGCTTCAGTTATTGCTCAAATGACATCATTCCTGGCACAGGAATTGATTGATTTTTTAATGAATATTCATATGGCATTTCAGCCAGGAGTAGGCATTAATATTCTAAGAAAGAAGAATGAAACGTACATCCTAATTTAATGAATGATTGTAAATATGTATCTGATGGATAATGTGACGATGAGCATTTGAAAAGGCATCCATAGTCACCTCAGGGGCTCTTCTTGGGAACAAAGGGGCAACCAGGATGCAGGTGGAGCAAAGAAGGAGAGGGGAGGACTGGGACATCCCGGTCTCAGGGCGTCTCTGTCTGGACCTCAACACACTCCTGTCACTTGGGTTGGAGTTCTGTACCCAGCCCTTAAAAGCCCTGAGATAAATCCCTTAATTATTGCTATGAAATTGATAACACTTACTGACCCCAGGTGACACTGGGGCAGTGACCTGGTGAGTGAGCACTGGCAAACGCTGATGGGAGTGAGATGTGAAGCTGGACAAAGAGACAGGAGAGAGCACCCATTCCCTCCCTGCCCACTGGGTGCTGGGCACCCATCCTACCCCCCACCAGCCACTGCCATCCCCCCCTGAAGGTCCAGGGGGCTGGTTCCAGGCAGGCAGGTGGAGCACTGGCTCTATCTCCCCCCGGAGCCCTGTCATGTTCCATTCCCTTCATCGTATTCTGGAGACAAGGCCCGTGGTCCCCGAGCGCACATACGTTTGTCAGACATCCTTAAGATGTCTCCCCGTTCCCAGCACTGATCCTTTGTGAAGGCAACAGTTGTAAGTGCTTAAACAGCAACAAAAGGCTCAGCTCTCCCCACCCTCTGCCAGTCCCAGCTCTGGAAACTGCTAAAACCTGGGCTTGGTGTGCTGCTGCTCCACAGAGCCTCTTAAACGGGAGTTTAAATTGGACATGTGGTCGGTCCCGTGGGGAGAGCACACGCACCTGAAGCATCCTCTGGCAGCGGGGATAAATCAGGGCACGGCCATGAAAGTCACCGAGGTGACAGGCATGAAAGGCTATTTATACCCAGCAGTGTTCTATTGTGCAAGGGAGAGAGCAGGCCCTTCTGCTGACAAAGCACAATCTGCCTCAGCCCCACGTGGAACGCGAAAAGCAATCCCTGAGATTCACTGCAGCCTTGTGGAGCTGCAGCCGGGACCACAGTGACATCTCCCGAGGAGTGGGGACCCCCAGTGGGAACTGAGCTGCTTTTTCTCCCCCTCTCCAATCAAACCAACCCCTTGCCAGTCCTCTGGCAGGGAAAAGGCACAACCTTCGCAGGGCAGCTCCTGAAACTCTGCCTTCAGAGAGCGGCCAGGGCTGGAGTTTGCACATCCCGATGCGTGGGACCGAGTTTGCCGATAAAAATACATCCAGAGTTATGCCTGGTATGGAACAAGCAGGCAGTCGCTGCCGAAGGCTTCACAACATCCTGCTTTTGGCTCTCCTCCAGAACACCAAAACAAAACAAAATTCAGTTGGCATCTCTGCAGATTGAAGCGAGTTTGCTTTTCTGCAGCAACTGCTGAACAAACGTTTCGATACTTGTGCCGCCGCCCCCGTCGCTGCTTTCTCCCCCGAATCATGCGCTGGAAGGGTGGAAAAGATGTTCAAGGTCATGGGCGGGCTGTGAGCAGTCACAGAACCACTGAATCACAGAATCACA